CACTTGAAGAATATAATAGACATATTTAGAGGAGTATAAAAAAATCTCATGACTTAGTTTTTTATTTTGTATCCTGCTGCTTTACTTAATTCATTGATCAATTCTAATAGTTTTTTTTGGTGGAAACTTTAGAGTTCTTTATATACAGTATCATGTCATCTGCAAATAATGAGAGTTTTCATTCTTTCGTTCCAATTTGGATACCTTTTATTTCTCTTTCTTGTCTTATTGCTGTGGCAAAGATTTCCAATATAATGTTGAACAGGAGTGGTGAAAGTGGAATTCCTTGTCTTGTTCCTGATCTTAAAGAAAACACTTTTAGCCTTTTCCTGTTTTTTATTGATGGCATATCTATTGATGGGATATTTATTGATGGGGTATTTAATAACACAGAGAACAAGCATTAAGTTTTGACTGTGGTAAGTCAGGACGGTGGTTAAGTAAGATGACCAGAGTAAGATAAACCTGATTTTTGAAACTTGAGTAGAAATTATCCATTCAAAGGGAGGTGGTTGGTTGGAGTGAGTGTCTGATTTGCTGGAACATGTAGAGATTTTTTTTTTTTAAGCAATGTTTAAAGTTATTTTTGAGTATAGAGAAAAATAAATTTATCATAAATGTAAACCCTTCTAAAATCTTTACTGGAAAATATCTGCTGATAAATCAAAGGAGGGATGCCTGGGTCAATTCACATGTTTTCTATCATGGAGGTATTCCATTTATTACCAGTCAGCATCCTTGACAATATGTATGTTATTAGACAATAAATCTTCCCCCCACCACCCCTTACTCAGTATTCCAGATCCTAGAGCATCATATCATTATCTATTGCTCCATGACCCCTAAATCATATGTGTAATTTCTGTTGACATCTATATTTTTGTATAGGCAAAAATCATGAAGAACATATGGTTCTCATTCTACCAAGTCTTTCATTTCATGCTGTTACCAGGATGCTTAGAAATCCTGATTAGATGGGAGATTAGCTTTTTCCCTAGTGGAATAATTTTATTATAACAGAGGTGTCATCTCCCTAAGCTAAATGTGGAAAGAATAATAGAAAGATTATAGATCATGGAAAAAACTAGAAAGGCTTTATTATAAATGATGACATGACTTAGAGAGCACATCTTGATCTACTTAAATAAACCCCTTAAAATTAAGGTAAGTAGGTTGATCAGTCTTAATTTTCACTTTTCTCATTTGCATCATTGTTATATAAAAAGCGCTCCCCACCATCTGGCTGATTTATAGACTAAAAAGCATTTTCAGGGCTCGACTCTCCTTGTCTGTCTGAGTTCACGGAAGTGATATATTTAACCCCAATAGCATCAACACAATTTGTCAGTACACTATAAAAGAAAGAGTCAAACTCTACACTGACTTAAGAGCTTTAAAAGAAATGTTATGAAGCATTTTAATGACTGATTTACTATTGACATAAGAAATATCTATGTATTTTATGAAGATACTCAAGAAATAAACTAACACATAACCATAATTTAAACTTTGTTGGTCTCTATATCTCTTTATTCTTAATATAAGTATTTTCAACTTATTTTTGTCCAATGCGTTTTTCTCTGACTATTATTGATATAAGTAAAGATGAATTTTATACTTGGTTCTATGATTATTTAAAAATATAAATCCTTTTCTGTTTTACTCACTGAGACCCAAGGAATTAGTTCCAGGGACCTCCCAGACACCAGCCTTCAAATGTGCCATAAATGCCTGTACACAAATATGTCTCCAGAGAATAAATAGCTCGATCAATAGACAATGTGGCCTGGAACGAGGAGAGAATGGGATTGAGAAGATGAGGTTGAAAAATCTGATGGTTTCTAAGCCCTATTTTAGGAAAAGAAGAGGAGAAAAAAGAAATGGAGGGAAAAAACACTCTCATTATAAATTTTCCTGAAAATATTAAACTGAGAGGTCCATATGTTATTATAAATATGCTGCCCCTACTCCTTTGGAATAAAAAAATCCCCATTTTTGGAAATTTTGCGGTAGAAAAATGGCGGTTTCATTTTATAGTTAGCAACCACATGTCAGTGTCTCCTTGCTTTAGTGTTTGTAATTATCCTGGTGCATGAAAACAAGGTCATTGAGAACCACTGTGTTGGCCAAAGATATTGAGATGCACAGTCAACCAAGTGACCTCGGATCCTATTCCCATGAGCCAATGAGTGTGAGGCCTGAAGGAAGTCAGTGTATTTACCTTAGTATCAATTTTTTCATACATAGAAATGGGCTTTGGACTAGTGTCTATTCAAGCTCTCTATAGTTCAAAAATACAGCACCCCAAACCTGATAGAATCATCAGGTATGATAAAGCATTTCATTTCCCAAACTGTCTGTCATGTAATTTCCTTATAAAGAGTCTTTTCTGCTTTTAGTCATGTGCTGAAAGACTTCTACGAGAACACTTCACCACCAAAAATAATGATACATTACTAAACCTCTTGATCACAGTGTGGTGGCTGCTGCTAGTTTATAAGTGGTCCTTGAGGCTCTTTTCTTTTCTGTAATGTGATAAGTTTTTAGAATCTTTATGAGACAGAGAAGGAAAGAGGGAGTGAGTACGAGGGGAGGGAGGAAGGGAAGGAGAGAGTAGGGGAGAGAGATAGAGAGATGTGGCCTCTTCTCTTAGCCAATTTCTCTCCTTCTTTTCATTGATCTAATCTTCTAGAGTGCATTAAACTGATATCTGGTTCCAACAAAAAAGCAGATGCACAGAGACCAGGAAATAAGTGACATACATGCCTTGCTTTAGGAATGTACGCTAGGACATGTAAAAACTGAAAGCCATGCTACAGTAATGTAACATGATGATTTCATTTTCCCCCCAGATATTTCCAAGTTAAAAAAAAATTTGCAAAATCATAGTACAGTCCCAGATGCCATTTAAGACTCAGGAAGGTAAACTTAAGTTTCCAGTATTTTTATGGTCTCTTGAGAAATGAAAAATTACTTTATATTTAGAACACATTTTTCTAAGAAGTAGGTTATGAACTTAGGTGTTTATGATAACCCTTGGGAAAATCAGCTTGCAAGTGAAGGTAATTTACAATAAAAATTATTGGAAAAGAATGTGACAGAAAAATACCTACAGGTCACTATTGAATAAGCAGCTCATTTTTCCCCTTAAAATTGATATTTTAATCACTTATTGTTATTTTTATCATAGCATCAGCCTACGTATTAAAACATCTACATTATACTTCATTACACTTTTTACTCTGGGCAAAAGTAGGTTAGATTAAAAACTTAGTACTTGATATATGTGTGTATGTGTGTGCATATGCACACATATATTTTTATGCATATATACACACATGTATGCAGAATATATGTTGTATTATGTAACATGATCTATATGTATATATTAAGGAAGATATTAAGAATGGAATCAGGAGAGTCCTCAGGAAATGTAGGAAATGACTTTAAATAATTTCAACAGTGAGTATAGGAATTAGAGATATGCATGCCATAGTTAATTCACATCTTATTTTCATTTAAAAAAAACCCCATGCATTCCAAGCGAGACCTTGATTCAACATACGTGTGTGCTGTGCATGTTGCTTTTAAGTGGGCTAGTTTTGTTCTCATGCCATAAGAGCAGGTGGCATGAAGCTGTTTGGATGAGGTTAAAAGGCTCCTCCCCTCTTTCCCCAAGCAGCAGCTTGAAGTACGTCAGCAGTAATTGTGTGCCTGGCTCGACTGTGCAGGGCGGGTGGAGGCAAAATTGATATCGAATAAGGGTATCAAACTGAGATCTGGATGTTTCGTTTAAGTTGTTGCTCATTTTCATTAGCCACACCAGGGGTGAAAGCTTATAACTTTACAATTCTCTGTAGTGAAAACATTTATTTTTGATGGATTTGTATTTTTCTTCTCCATAAAGACTAAATTAGTGTTGTAGTGGATATAAATGAAGGGATTTCTTTATCTTCTTTTCATTTTATTATTTACTACTCAGACTTCAGCTCAGATACATAGAGAGAGAGAGGTTCTGTTGCCTAGATGTAAGGCCTTTAATGAGGATGGGAGGCCCCAGGGAGCCGAAATCCGAAGTAGAGCGATGCTGCTTTCGGGTTTCTTGTCATTTCTTCAGTTGCTTCTTCTCCTCCCTTTTCCAATGGGCCTAGTGAGCAGGAACTATCCAAGGTGCTAGAATGCTGGCAGATTTGCCGTTCAATGCAGACGGATTGCAGAAAGAGAAGAAAGATTACTGCTTATTTCAGAAGGTAGGTTCTTTGTTTCAGAATCCCTGATTAATCAGCAGCAGCATCAACAGACTAAGGCAGCTGGAGAGGAGAGAGAGAAAAGCAGGAAGGGAGGGAGTCAGGGGGAGGGAGGGAGGGAGGAAGGGAGAGGGGAGAGAGAGAGAGATGTGTGTGTGTGTGTGTGTGTGTGTGTGTGTGTGTGTGTGTGTGTGTGTGTGTGTGTGTGCGAGAGAGCGAGAGCGAGAGCGAGAGCGAGAGAGAGAGAGAGAGAGAGAGAGAGAGAGCGCGCTGGTTGTCACGGGGGAGGGACTATGCCACAAGCTAGGCTGCTCCAAACCTTCTGTATGTAAGTGGCAATGAGAAAGAGCATCTTTTTGGCTGAAAGGAGACATTTAGAGAGGATGTTGCTGATTTTTTGTTTTCTTTTATTTTTATCTTTACAGAATATAATCAAATGAGGCACCTTAGCCAGCCTGGGTGATTGTTTCGAGTCTTGTAATCATCTGTGTAGCAAAGTGGGTAAAATCATTGAATTTCTTCCCGGCTGGACCTGGAAGGAGAGGGGCTGTGTGTTCGTCCCCACCCATTAGCTATGCCCTCTTTTCTCTGAATGTCGATTTAAGGAAGCAAGCACCTGTCTTCTGCCACTGTATCTTCCTAGAAAACTTTAAAGACCATTTTATGTGATAGGAAGAACCTCAAGAATTCTCTGATCTCTAGTGATGAAGAATCTGGGAGTGGACACTTACCCCATCCAGATACAATGCACTTTAATTGAAGAAAAACTGAGCTGAACTACAAGTCTATTCCTTATGGTGCTGGATTACTCCTACAGAACTGCCCTGAGATCAACCGCGAGAGAGGGCTCAGACAGACACAAGTCACCTTCTGATTATTGCACTTAGCTCTCCCTGGGGACTTAAATTTTGGTATGTATCTCATTTTTCAGATTCTCTAAGCATGCTAATTGAATCCAGCACTAAATAAATCAAGCAATCTGGTTATGAAATGGAATAGATTTTATCTGGGGATACTTAATGCTGAAGTTTGCATGTCTTATTAGGAGGAACAGAAATAAAGCCACAGCGAAGGCATCTAGGGCTTTAATGAGCCTCAGGCTGTTTTATATCCTCTTACCCACTTAGTTACATTACCACAAAAATGGTTAAACTAGATTTTAATTGGTAAAATAAGCCATGTTGAATTATTAAAAGCATTGAAAATATTTTCCAGGGTATTAATTGGCATTCACATAGTGCATGCTAGCTATTTATCTGCTATTCCATACCATAAATATTTTACAACAGTCTCTTAGCACACTTGTGTCAGCCAAATTCTATGTTCTCGAAAATAATACAGTACCCCCCTAAAAAATACAAACTATCAGACAGACACCGAACCTGAAACTGCTTCTTCCTAAATGATTAGACATAAATCTTTTTGATAAACATGTATTTTAATAGCTGTTTAGACTCATCACAATAAATATTTTCTACAGAACTTCAGATGGACTTGTTTTACTTGGGACATAAACTTATTTTGTTGGCGGTGTCTCTAGTCTAATTTTTCCAACTACCAGCAATATTTAAAATACATGAAATGTAGGTACTCTCTACTAGGAAGAAATATTACATGAAATAATATTTATTTGCATTAGAAAACCCTAAAGTTGTTTTGGTACCAGAGAACTGGATTTTTTTCCCAAATATAGCTCACAAATAAGGGAATTTAATTGAAGAATTCACACAGTAAAGTTTTGGCCCTTTAAACATGTAAGAATTTATAAACAAATAGTGTGAAATAGTAATTGTAGTGCAAATTAACTCCTCTCCTACTTCTTTAGGTTATAAATAATGCTTCAACTTATTTTCTATATTGCCAAGTGGTAAACAAATTAATATGAGAAAGTGTAAGGCACACATGCCAAAATTATTTTATTTTTTCCCATGGAATCTGCAACATATGATTGCCAACTCAGCAAAGACAGAGACTCTAAAAGAAATTGACAAATTAATAAAAACAGACCCAAGAAAAAAATATTATGATTTCACAAGGAACTAGAGAAGCCCAAGGACTTGAAGCATTCTGTAAAGTTTAGAGGGAGAAGCATAAAAATCCTAGACACCAGAAGATTGGCTATTGTTTGAAAAAAAAAACAAATAAGTCACAGACTCCCAATTCAACTACAGTTTGCATTGTAACTTCAGTCAGCAATTTATTAGACTGACCATATACTGACTTTGCAAATACTGCCTTGTAAGCATTTGAAAACATTTGGCCAATGGCTCAAAAAGTACCTCGGTCATTGACATTTTGCACAAATCCCCAATAGTAGTAGAAATGTACAATCACTTTAGACCATGGGCAAATAGCACCATGACAACCAATTTCTGATTTATGATGCTACTGCATTAACATGCTCTATGCCCATTTTACCCATTTGGAAAGGGAGATAGTGGAGAAAAAACTCACTCCAAAGTAATCTGCTTTCTGAGAAAAAAAAAAAAAAAGCAATCAGTGTCTTTGTCGTCACTTCAACAAGCTCTCTTGGTTTTAACTCTAACATTTCCCATTTTGGGCAGAACAGCTGCATTTTGATGACAGCGAGAATGAGAAAATGAACGTGACAGTTTGTGGGGTTGTGAGTAGGATTTCAAGGATAATCAAAGTGAAATTACAAGACTGAATTTTGACAGATTATGAGATTTTATCAGGAAAACAATTTGACATGGTTTACATGGGTTATGTCTTATAACCAGGCAATCTAGTCTGTTGATTTGGTCCAATATGAAGTCAGCAAATTTTAGAAATTAATTTGCATACATATTTACATATGTATGTGAATCTTGATTATTTAAATACTTATATTCACAATGTGTTTTCAAGTTGGTGTGAGTACATGCAAAAATTGTAAAAGATCTTTTTTTCTCCTGTTGAAAAAAATAATATAGTCAAAAATTACATTGGGAAACTTTTATTTGGACGAATCAATATTACTGGGCAAAATAAGAATCTCTCTCAAAGAAGATGTGATGACTGGAGTGGGAGGGAAAATCAAATTTTAATAACTCAAATCATAATAACTTCCTCACAGTGTTGAGATAGGTGTGGTTTGAAAACCTCAGAAATAAATAAGAAGTGGAGACTAGAAAACTTTCTCATGTGCAAATAAAACGAAATACATAAATGTGAAATGAAGGCAAAATGTCTAGGCTTTCCACGAGGAGATTTATTCCCTGTATATATTTTATTTTTCCCAGATAACACAGATAACATTATAATAATAACATAAACTTTAGCTTATTCTATGAGCTATAAGTTTAGCTTGTAGGGTTAGCCATGACCTAAAATTTAAGAAGCTTCTCATAGAACTTCAAGAATTCACTCCCAAACAAGTGGTTTTCTTCCTCTACCACTCAGTAGATGTAGAAAATAAATGGATTAATGAAGATTTTTACAACTTGGAAAGTTTTAGATGGGAAACAGCTCCATTTCAGAAAGTCTGAGTAAATTTCAGAAAGTCTGAGATAAAAAGAGACAAAAGAACCAACACCCCTGAGAGCCAGTGGATTAATTCACAGATGATATTGGTATTCTAGAACCCTCCTTTCGATACATGGCAGTGAATGATCCATAGAAAAGTCTGCTTGAGAAGTGTGTGTGCACTGCCAGCCACCTGAGCCCATCTTTATGGAGCCAGAGTGGTTGATGTCACAAGGCATGAAATTACACTGAAGGAGGGATTTGTTCTAAATTTTAAGAAGAGAAAAGAGAATTTTAACATGTATGAAAAGATGCATGCTTAATATTTATCTGACCCTATTTACATACCTTTTCTTCAACAACAGCCTATAATTAATTTTAAAAAAATCCTCTAATCTATTAGGAACCCAATCTTGACATTGGTTAATGTCCCCATTAAATTTGCTTTGGTAAATTGAGGCCACACAAAATTGATTTGTAAATTTACAGAAGGAATAACCCATGTAAATGTATGATCTTTAAGTTTTTGCATATGCTTATTTCTTTAAAATGTGATCCAGTTTTTTGTTGTTGTTGTTCGTTTGTTTGTTTTTTTGGCTTTGACAAAGTCCTGTAGTATCTCAGCTTCTTGAGTTCTTTGGATGCAATTAGTGGCAAGAGAAAGAGAAGAAAAAGTAAATTTTTTATGTTTCTATGTGTTTCATTTTGATATCATTATGTATATTTTATGTTCCACACATATATGTACTAGATAATTTTATTTCAGTGGAAACATTTTAAAGAAATACAATGCTACTTTCAGTTTCCAGGCTCAGCATTGGAAGGTATAATGATGGTTTCACACCAAAGAAAATAAAGAAATGATTCATTCAATAAAAAGTTAAATGCTTAGTGCTTTAAGTATGACCTAAATCCCCCTCAGTATATATTGGTGCATTTTAAATTTCAAATTTTCGGAAGTATTATGATATTATACAAAGTTATCTTTAGGAGGAGTGTGGTTAACAGAAAATCAATTTAAAAGGCGAAAGAATAAAATAAAATAAAGCTGAGCAATTAACCATCCAGTTGTATTTAAGCCAATAGCCGTAGCTTTTATAAGAATGGCAATGATTCTAAATACAATAGTCCAGAAATTAAACAAAAGGAATCTCTTACAAGTGCAGTGGAATCCAGCAGAGGAATAAAGGAGTAAAGCGAAGACGTGAAGTTACCTGTGATCTGTATGGGAATTCTGATCTCCGTCACTTCAGATGCTTTTCCAGGAGAGTCTCTGAAACAAATTTTAAATATTGGCCATGACTTCTAAGACAAAGAACACACTCACATAAAATTCTCACACTCTTTGAATCAATGCTGTGAATTCCAAAGAAAACATATCTACCTCGTAGATGAAGACTACAGATGCCAACTTCCAACCAGTGCTCTAAGGACAGGGGATAGGGTGGGGAGTTAAAATGTCTAATTTGTTGAGAGCAAAAATGGCGGCAGATATATACTAGTTCAAATAAAAGGGCTGGATGTTGAAATGTAAGACTTTCCTTTCAATTTCACCACTCCATGCAATAATGAGGTCTAGTAAGGGAGGCTGATTGATTGTGACATATCTAAAGATGCTATATTTGAAGAAAGGGGCCTATTTGCTTCTTAACTACATTCTTCTAAGACGCCAACTTTGGGAATTAGGTGCCTCAGACAAGCCTCATAAAATGCTTTTATACAGGATTTTTATTCAAGGACCAGAAATAAAAGAACTTGATTTCCTATCCAATGGTCAAAACAGAGCCAATTTTTGGTGGTAAAAACAAAAAACAAAAAACTGTTCAGTTGCCTCAGAAACACTTTTTGGCTTGGGAAGGTGGTGTCTGAATATTTGAGAGATGAGATGAACTTTGTGGTTGATATGTCCCAAAGCCCTTATTTTCTAGATGTGGAAAATGGGGCAGAATTGGGAAGTGGTCTGTTTTCATGCATTTGGTTAGTGGGCATATCTGTTAAGTCCTTTTAAAGCTTCCATTTATAACTAAGAAAGTTCAAGTGCACTAAACATTCTATTCATTTATGTTCCAAAGTAAGAGTATGTTTGTTGAGGAGTTATTACTAAACATAATTTTTGTCATAGTTAAGAATTATGAAAAGTATCTAATAAAAATGTTAGTGACTAATAATTATGGTAACGTTTCTTGAACACTTACGTGCATTTCCAAACTGTTTCCTCAAACAATGTAAGGAAGTAAATGCTATTCCAACCACCATTCTTAAAATGTGGAAACTAAACTTCGCAGAGGTTAATTCACTTGCACAAAGTCAGAGATCTATGAATGGTTTAGTTGGGATTTTCAGGTCATATTGTTCAACTTTTCAGCTCTGCCTCACTGTCTAACCCTGTCCTACATTACAAACTAGCTTTTACATTTACACAAGGAAGAAGAAAAGTTTGATGCTTAAACATTGGTAGCATCAAAGTTTAATTTTAATTTTAATTTTTGAAGACTAGATATAATTTTTCAAATTTCTTTTGTTCATTATCAAAAATGGTGGCCATAAACCGTGACAAACTAGTGAAAGTCACCATTGCTACCAGCGTCAATGCTCTTGTTACACTGTGTTGTAATTGTTTATTCATTGTACTTTTATACTATAGTGTGAAAATCTAGAGGAACACAATTCTGCCTTTATCGGTGCCTGGTTCGTAACTGGTGCTCAAGAAATAGTTGAATAAAAGCATGATTATGGAATCAAGTACTTCTCTAGAATTAGATGACATAAGCATGTTTACAAACATTGATTCGATTTTCATTTTTCCGAAGTTTTACTAGATTTTGTGGTTGATTTTCAGTCTCCAAATTTTTATCTTAGTGAAAAAATATCTTATAATAATACACTTTTCCATAATATAGATATTTTACAATATTATTAATTTTTTTTCTGAATAAACATAATATAAACTCTGGCCAGCTTGAAAGAACACATAGTAACATAGTTAATTTTCAGAAGTTCACAATTAACCTTGCTACTCTTTGGAATATATAAACCTCATAAAGAATCTCTTGTGTCAATTGGATGGGAGAGAAACTTAAGGGAAGAAATAAAAACCTCTGGGTAATGCCTAACACAATGGAAAATATAGAGTTTGCTCTAGGGCAGAGTGGGAGTGATCGCCTCCCACCCTAAGGCATGACTTCTAGAATCTTTGAAATACTGACTTGGTTTACTTAGTTATGGTAGAATTAATTGCCATAAAGTTATGCAGATCCTTTTTTATCCAGGCACACCAGTGATGAAAACCTTGATAGAAGTGAATTTTCAGTAATGGTGATGCTTTAGCTCTCTGAGAATCATATTCTTGTATTTTTTTTTTACCCCAAATTGCAATCATTTGTAATAGTAATTTTCTATTCCTCTGTGTGTTCACCACTTAAGCATCTAATCTGATGGACTGATATTAAAATACAATTCAATTACATTAGATAGTTGGAATTAAAAGACCATTTCATTTGCCAACCCATTATGGCTTAAAACCAGACCAAAAATAATAAAACTTAACATAAAAAAAAAAAAAGTCATGCGTCAACAAATAACTTTTATCCTCTAGTTTCAACTATTTCATACATATTGGGAAAGAGATATAACCTTAAATTCAGAGTGAGTTTCAAATAATGTATGGATTGACTGGTAGCTAAAATGTTAATAAACTGTGATAAGAAGTGAAGTTTCCATAGCTACAATCCGGGTTATTGAACATGACTATACTTGTAAAAAAATCAGAATAAAAATGATTTGCAATGGTAGAAATGAAAGTCTATGACTTCTACATGAAATAGCTGGGCTAATATTTTTAAAATATCTTTTGGGGCCTTTGAAGAAAGTAAAAAGATGTAAAAAGATGATTGCAATTTTGGAGAAAAAAAGTTAATTTATAATTTTTAAATGACCAAATTTTTTCCTTTGTTAATTGATTTTGCTTTAGATTTTTCCATCTGCCTAAATTATACTATACTATACTGTACTATACTATACTATACTATACTAAATTATACTATAGTATAGTTTGCTATACTATAGTAAATATGTATTTGAGGACAGTAAGCCTTATTAAGCTAGAAGGGTAACATATTTAATCTTGTATATAATTAATTAAACTTCGGTTCTATTTTTGATTGATTAAAGCACAGTTTCTCTATCCCCTGGATTTATTGATTTCTATGATTCATTGAATACCTCTACTTCAAGGCATGCTGATTTTTATAGCCTGCTAGTTATTCATCCACCATTCATCTATACCCATATATATACATTTGACATTACTATTGCTCTCCATCTTCCTCCTACACTTTCATTAAAACAATATTAACTAACATTACTATATAGTTACTACTGTTGAACTCTATGCTAAATTCTTTACAGTCATCATTTCTTTCAGGAGGTAAGAGAGACTATTTTCCTCACTTTATAGATGAGTGTAATATGCAATGGTTCAAAGTCCTATGTTGCTGTTGTTTTGATTTGATTTTGTTTTTCAGTAATCTTTTCCATGGCTGAGGTTTTTAAAACTTCATGTGGCTATGGTAATCACAGCTGTCTTTGTTTGAATTACCAGACTGGTCAGTATTAACGTGGTCCTGATGACCTGTGATATTTGAGTTATAGTGTCAAGCCATCATAGGGCACCATTTTGAAAAATGATGGTGGGTCAAAAAGGGATTATTGCCAATACAAATTATATGAGAACTGCCTATTTTCTTGATGACTGCTATATCCTACATGAATAGTTCAGATTCATAAATCTTAATCTAAAATTGTGAGGAAAACGCACGTGACGCAAAAGTTTGTTTCAAATAAGTATTTTATTTGAAATTGAACAGAAAAGTCTTTATGGTGATCAGAAATAAATGAAGCTTGGAGCTGATATATTTTGTTGACATAAAGACACATTTTTGAGAAACAAAATCATGACTAATTACATAAACCAAATGTTTATCTTCATGCACTGTGCTGTATTCGCACCATAATGTTACCTTTCGATGCAAAAACATTGGCCTTTGTCCTGCTAATTTTGTTGCTTTGATGAGTGTTTGCTACTGAGGCAACGTTCATTTACTATTTATTTAAATACTCTCTGATTTCTAAAGAGACATTGTCTCCAGGTAGATACCACCATAATCATTGAAGTTTGGGGCTGACAAGATATTTGTGGAAATAAATAGCACCATGCTTTTATCTTCACCCCTGATGAAAGGAAAATGCGTTCTCATCCTACAGGAAGTGTTCCTTTTTACATGATCTCCTCCAAGATGATGAGTTCTAATCCCGAGAAAGACCCTTTGGACACATTTCTCCAATATATTGAGGATTTGGGGATGAAGGCCTACGATGGCTTGGTTATTCAGAACGCATCAGACATCGCTCGAGAGAATGATCGCTTGAGAAATGAAACAAACCTGGCCTACTTGAAGGAGAAGAATGAAAAACGCCGAAGACAAGAAGAAGCAATAAAACGGTAAGTATGAATAAAAGTATTCTGAGTTTTGTGCACACAAGGAAATCTGTGAGTTCTGCAAAGGCTGTGATGTTGTCACCTGGTCAAGAAGGGGACTGTGAAAGGTAGACTCAGTGAGACAAAGTGAAAACGGCATCTCAACTATAACAAAAACTCAACCCTTCCTACTGACAGGATCCAAACCTCGGTTACCAAAATTTGTTTACTTGTGTGTTGCACAAGGGGAGACACAGATGGGATGAGAGAATAACTTGGTGTCTTGAAAATTAAAGTTCATGCTGAACAATCTCTTGATAAAAGCCCCCAAAAAGAGTACACAAACACTTTAATGGCTAGTGTGTGATGAAAATCCCCACTTTCATGGTCTTTGTTTGTAGTTCTTACCTTATCATACAGTTCATCTTCTCCCTAGATTGTAAAAAGACTCATCAAAAATTCGAATTATATAAGCATCTTAAGGCAAGTGGAACTCTTGGTGTATGCTCTCTGTGTAGAATTTTATGATTTTATAGCTATTACAGGTCTTGTCTGGTACCGAGTATTCCAGGTTTGTTCAAATGAAATGACTTTCATGCTGCAAAACCTACCAGCTACAAGTGAGCCCTAGACTGCAGCTTCCAAACTGAGGCTAAGTTTCCTAAGACAGAAGAATATTACAGCGTTTCGTATTACAGAATATTACAGTGTGTGTGTGTGTGTGTGTGTGTGTGTGTGTGTGCGTGTGTGTGTGTGTTTTAAGGTGTACAGGTAGAGACATGTTGTGTTTGATGGAATCCTGTTTCTTCAATGTAGTCCATTTACTAAGTGCAAAGATACAGAATTTAGGGAATTAATCCATATCTATTAGCTGGATAATTGAATAAAACTAATTATTTTAATAGGTGATAGATTTTTCATAAAATCTGGCATTAATATTTTTGCTTACTCTCTGTGAACATTGTGATATTAAGAAAAAGAAATTATTATTTTAAGCTGAACTGTTCATTCTTATAAAGAAGCTAGGTTAGGATGCATTACTCTTCTCATTTAATAGCAAAGTACTTTTTCTGAGAGGGTAGAAAGGAAGGGAGAACATAACTAGAAAAATAAATAGAAATAAATTTTTCAGAGGATTCCCCCCACCCCGGACTATTAAAACAGAAATCTATGCTTTACCTGGTATAAAAATATTTGTAAAATTTCATACTGCATAAACATGTTCACTATTAATATATTTTACTTCAATTAATTCGTTGTTGAGAACTATGTTATTTTTTTAATTCTACCTAATTTTAGTTGTTATCACAGATTTCATTCTAGGGTACACTAAATGCCCTTTCTTAGGACATTTCTTTGTGTGTGTGAAATATATCCGATGCAGTTCTATGAATATGTGAGCAATTTATTTTACCTTTATGAGTTCGAGTTTTTAAAATCAAAATAAAAAAGGATAGCCTACATAATTCCTGAAATAACTTCAGGTCTGTCTAAAATCTAAAGTTTCCCAATCCCAGCATTAAACCTTAACAATTCAATCGTTTCTATAAGCATATAAACTGGGTTATTTGCTGAATAGTTTCACTAGGTTTTACAAAGCACCCACAGTGTGCTTATCGCTGTTCTATTAGCTTATATGTTTCATTAACAGCCTTCAGAAGGTTTCTATTTAAAGATCCATAGATAGTAAGACAGCAAAAATGGCTCGTTTTAGGTAATTTACTGTCAAATGTTCAAAGGGGCACAATTCCAAAGAATTCTGAAGTTCAAGAGACAGAAGTAGGAATTTAGGCAGTGGAGAGAGCACAACCTTATCATTACATCCTAAGTGGGGTCCAAGAAATTCAGTTATGTGAACTTTGAGTTGGTTCCTGCTAGATTAGTGAAGCAATATATTTTTCTTAGAATTATGTTAGCATAAAAATAAAGATAATTCAGTTCACACATTAAATTGAAGAAGTCCTAAATAATCTGGGGACATTTGTTCCCCCATCACCCCTTTAGCTCAAGACAAACTTTAGTCAAGTCCCGTTTGTGTATAGAGCAAAGGACAGGAGTAAGTCACCACCATGTGTCTGTGTGTGTGTTTGTGTGAGTGTGTATTAATCTATATCAATGGTTTATTTGAAACAGTTCTTCTGAGTATGAGAGTTCTTTCTTGGGTCAAATGACTAAGAACTCAAAGTGGGGGAGAAAAAAGGTACTTGTCAGTTGAAAATTCATAGACAGTTTATCTTTCTATAATTAGATTAGGAGAAAAATGACCCTATTGCTAGTAGGAATAAGCAAGAAACTTCTAGGGCAGGGGTCCCCAATTCCTGGGCTATGGACCAGTACTAGTTCATGGCCTGTTAGGAACCGGGCCGCATAGAAAGAAATGAGTGGCGAGCAAGTGAGTGAAGCTTCATCTGTATTTGCAGCTGCTCCCCAGCGTGAGCATCACCTCAGCTCCACCTCAGACCATCAGGCATTAGATTCTCATAGGAGCACTGGTCCCTGGTACCAAAAAGATTAAAGACTGCTGTCTAGGGTCTGGCATTTGATGAGATAGATATTCACTAACTCTGCATTGTTTCCATGTAGAACATATGGGAAAAATGCATACCTGAAGCCAGGTTACTTTTAGGTTCCATAACTTTGCTACTTGCAGGACTGTTGCTGCAATAGTAATTGGTGTTATCCACAGGAGAGATACAGAGGTTTGTACTTTATGTCGGAGTGACCTAGTGGCAGTGGGATTTTAGATGATAAAGTCATCCTGAATTTGTCCCTAGGTATGGGTACGGTTGAAGAATAAACCAAATTCTCAGGCATGGGGACACCAACTAGAAGTAAGCAGACTAACGAATCCTAGTAGACTTATGTTCAAGTTGAATTCAGACCTCACCCCTGAAATTAGAGATCAGGCAGAGAGACTTTAACCTTGGAAGCAAGGGAGGCCAAGTGAGATAGATAGGGCATCTCTCACCTGAGCTCAAGGTGACCAGAGGCAATGAGCAAACAAAGCACCAATATGTGGTTGCCGACATCCAAGCTATAATGTAGGTTTCAAGAGAAGAAAGACTCTGTTTTTCTCTGCAGTTCTTGAACAGAATCTAAAGCCTACTTATTGCTCATTAAACACTTGCCATTAAATGTATTCATTGATTGGAAAATATTTATTGAAATTTTGCTAAGTGTCAGGCAGTGTTTCAGACCTTGGTAAGATGCCAAGGAACAGAAAGACATTCTTTTTATAAGGAGACTACATTCTGAGAGAAGGGTGGTGAAGACACCCAGGAAACAAGCATATATAAATATGCGAGAGGCAAAACTAATTTTTTACACTGTAAACAAAAGCAGGGTAAAAGAGATTAAAAACAGAGGCCAGGGAAGGCTTCTTAAACTACATTTGAGCAGGGACATGAGATGTGGGAAGCTTACTGCCAGCAATGTGAGTCACGTGACTACCTGCAGGAAAAGAATTTTAGTCAGAAGGAACAGCCAGTTTGACACATTCCAAGGAGAGGACAAGTGTCATGTAGTAATCAAGGCAAAGATTGAGGGGCGTAAGTTCAGAATGGTAGGGGGCCACCAGGTAATGGAAAGTCTTATAAGCTTTTATGTCCTATTCTGACAGAGAAAAAAATTTTGTCGAAGGTTTTTGAGCAGGGGTGTGACACATCCTGACTGAACATTTCATAAGGATTACTGTTTTCTTTGTATCAACTAGCTGGATGGGGCATAACTGAATGCAAGGGATCCAGAGAGAAAGCTTTTGCAATAACTCAGGTGAGAAACAGTGGTGGCTTGAACTAGAATGGTAGCAGTCAAGGTGGCATAAAATGATCAAATCATGGGCACCACTGGAATTTTCTAATTGATGTAGAAGTTGAGTAAGAGAAAGGAATTGAAGACGGGTCTCACGTTTGTTTTTCTCGTTGTTGTTTTTGAATGCCGTTGTTACATTGTGATGTGTTTTGGCCTGAACAACTAGAGAACAATGTTTCCACTTGGTGAAATGATAAAAACTAGAAGAGGAGTAAGTTTAGGTTAAATGGTGGGGAAATAGGAGCTCACCTCTGGCATGCCAACCCTGGAAGCCCTTTCAGAGATCCAAGTGGAGAATTCTGGATAGGCAGTTCTATCCCAGACTCATGTTAGAGATCAAAGCTGGTGGTATAAGAGTCATATTCTACAGATGTTACAGTCAGGAGCCTAGTTGAGAATACCTAGGACCCAAAATTAGATAGAGATGACAGAAGCAATGAGGATTATTCTTCAGGGCACCTGATTGCTTACGTGATCGAAATAGTAGAAGAATCCAGTAAAAGCACCAATGAGAGAGGAGAAGAACCACAAAGGAGAGTGATGTGTCCAAGTGAAGGGATAAAAGTGACTAAAGAAGAGAGAGAAAGAGACTTTACAAATAGATCAAATATGTTGACGCCTGAGAATTGATTAATGCCTTTTACCACACTGGTGGTGTTGCAAAGAACAATTTCCATGGAGAGTTGGGGAAAAAACCCACTGGGCTTGTGTCAATGAGAGTGGGAAGAACGGAATTGAAACGAAACACAGAGAACTAATTTGAGGACTTTGAGGTTAAACATTCTTCTGAAATATGAAGGATACTTGAAGGGGGAAGTAGGTTTATGGTGAAAGTTTATTTTTCTGTATTTTTCCTTTAAAAAGCGGAAAACAGCTTATTTAAAATGCTGATATTGGACGTGGTTCCATAGTGTAGCGGTCAGCACGTCTGCTTTACACACAGAAGGTCTTGGGTTCGCGCCCCAGTGGAGCCACGGTCCATGGTCTATGGCCATGCCACCCTGAACAAGCCCGATGTCTGATCTCAAAAGCTCAGCAGGCTTGGGCCTGGTTAGTCCTGGTTAGTACTTGGAAGGGAGACCACCTAGGAAGACCAGGTGCTGTAGGCATAAATAATGATAACAACAATAATAATAATAATAAATAATAATAAAATGCTGATATGAATGCTCATAATGGAAAGGGAAATTATTGTGATTATGCCCTGGAGCAGG